TGCCGTTTTGCGGGTGTCTGTAAAATATATATCCCCTAGAGTCCCAGAATAGCATCCATTCAAGACTCGCTGTCAACATGGCGTTACAGCAAACACAATGCCGGTCCCACACAGGATGACAAAGAGCCTTCTAAACATTTCCATCTGAACACGGCGGAGAAAGTCGCAGAAAATAACAGACTGTCTGAGATCTTACTGCGTCCAAGGAAAGATTGATGGTTTGCCTGAGGAAACAGAGTCCAAACTGCTGACAAAAGCCCATCCTTGTCTAATCCGCAGCAATAAAAATGATTCTTCAGGCCTGAAATGTAAGGCCGCCATAAGCTGGAAAACAATTCCCATTCATCCGATATTGTAAACAGAAGATGGGAATCTAATTACTCTGCTGTCGCTGCCACTACAATTCATTACTGTATTACATGCCTAAAAATATAACAACAATATAACAAGTAGCCAGTGCTACAGTGATTACTCCCAAGAGGACAGTTTCCACCGAGACATGCAAGTTCTTCTGGTAAACGTCTATTTTTCCAATTATTAATATTATTCTTGATAATACATAAAATGGATAAAGTTAATTAAGACCGTCTGTTGAAGCAGTGAGACATCAGCTGCATCTATTTCAGGAACAGGAAAAGGTATGTTCTGAGATTTAGGAAAAACAGCATGAATCATATGGATGAGGTGAATTCACCATGCATTTCAAATGAATGCAGATAATTAAAATAAGGTTCACAATGACCAGGGATGGGGAAAAAATATTGATTTTATGATTAATCAGGTTACTGGTTTTGATGATTCACTATCGATTCACAAAATCACAAGACCGATCTTTTTAATTTAGGCCTTTTCCCCGCAACTGAAAATATTTTTGCTGAATTTTACTTGTATCAGTTCTCTTATCATATAGGTGGAACTATTTTCTCTCACACCTATGGCAGGGTTGCAATGCTATTGTGCAATCACTTTACAGCGCCATCTTGGTGCATTGTCAGTCACAGTAACGGAGTACTCCGAGCATGTGAATGCAATGCAAGTCAAGACAAGTCAGGTCAGGTCAGGTATTCAGTACATTGCATACAGTAATGTGAAATGACGTTATATAAAATTATATAAATACAAAATAAATAAAAACTAAATAAAAGCAGATGGTATATAGAGAAACACTGTCCATTATGAGGATATTGCTAATCTGGTTTTTCAAAAGTTGTAGGTAACATTGAAGCAAAGGAACTAAGTCTGGAAGTTGAATTGCTTTATTTCAGGCCGGGTACAAATGCAGAGGAAAAAGGTGTGGATGAAATATTTCTGTGTGTTAACGGGTTAGTACAAGTATACATTTCACGCATATTATTTATTTATTATATAATGATTATCTTTATCTTATTGTTACCATGTAATGGTAACTTAAGCGATTACACTGCTCTGTGCTGCAATGTCAAAGCTACAGCATTGTGTCTAGTGTTGCTGTTATTACAACAAATCTGGTTTGATCGCACATAAGTGAATGTGTTTTAAAGGTAAATTGAATCAAATCGAAACTGAAGCAAGTTGGGCACTTGAGAATCAAAATCTAATCAAATCGCGTGGTCCAAGCCGATTCTCAGCCCAAATAATGACTGTTATAAAACAACGGCTCTTTCGTAATTCTTTACAAAAGGAAAAACTAAACTAACTAAAAATCTGCTTACGTCATCAACCAATTATCATTAATGACATTAAGAATTAGGTAATTACAAGTGGAATAAAAATAACACAAAACACATAAAAGTACATTTGAAGTTTAATTCAATAATCTCATTTATGTTCTGACTATAGGGAGGGAAACAACTATGGACTTTAAAGCCTAGCAGTAATATCAAAGAAGCTGGTATTAAGGCAAACAGAGAGAGAGAGAGAGAGTAGAGAGAATTTAGGGAAATTTGGGTGTGTGAGCAAACATTTGACCAATTGGCAGTATTAGCAAAGACAAAACGGGAGGCCAAGAAGGATGAAGTGCTTCACCCCCTGAAGATTCCACTGATAGCTAAAACATACCCATTAAAATACTCACAAAGAACAAATCTGGGGAAAACCCAAGCATTTCTGGGCTACATCCAGAATGTATGAGACTTTGTTTTAATAGAAATCGGACGTATGATGTCTCATGGAAATATGTAAAATTATTTTCACTTTTTTGGGCCATTCCAAGATTCTGAATGAAAACAGTAATTACATCTTCTGACTGGAAAGTTAAAAGCGGTTTTTTGGGACAAAAAGGATTCTGCTGAACTTTTTATATTCATTCCGATCAGGATTTTATTAAAACAAAAAATGTTTTTGTTTTACAAGTAAATATCTGTGCTGAGAACATTTCCATTCTGATTCAGATGTTCTGTGGTTATTGATACAGGCTATTGAGGATTTGGTTGTAATGCTCTGCGCCACAAGCTTTGCATACTGCTACCATGATTCCACACCACTACAGCAGGCTGAATAATAGTTAGCAGCCTACATATTTCATTACTGAGACCTTTGTTTGTCATACAGTCGTAACAGAGAAAGGTTCATGTAGATAGGTGGCGCTGTGGCTCCTGGATGATTGAGCCCGTTGAAGCTGAATGCCAGGCAGAGACTGCAGCCTAGGTCACGGTTCAGATCTGCACTGGCTGATTTGCCAGCAGTGGCTGGTGAAATAAATACTGCATGGAGTCTGTTACGTGCCTGTGTGTCAGCAGTTTATTTTGGAGGGCTGGGCTGTTGCCCCTGATGCATGGAATAGGCCTATGTGGTGCCCTAGGCAATACTTACTAATAGTGACCCCCCCCCCCCGAGAAATGTTGTCGACGATAACAGTTGTCAACCAAGGAGTGCCCCCTCAGAAAACAGCACTCTGGGCATCTGCCCACCTTGCCCTTGTCAGGATCTGCCACTGGTCTTAAGCGTATGAGGACAGGGCAGAACAGGCAGGGGCAATTCAGTACAGAAGCAGATTCTGTGCTGAACGGAAGACAAATCAGAACGGATCAATCAAAGATTAAACTACATACATGTGGGGATGACTGTGTACTGAAGAACCTTCAGCTCGGAGTAGACAAATAGCAGTGTGATTTTTTTTTGGGATGTGGGACTTTAGTATGTGTACATATTTACACACACACACACACACGCACACACACACTTTATTAATCCTCACGGGGAAATTCTTATTTTTACTTTGCCCCCTCTTGCTCTCCATGCAGGTGAATGTAAGCTTGGGGGTCACAGCAAAAGGCCACCTTGCTGCACCAAGGCAGCTGGGCACTAAGGGCCTTGCTTAAAGGCCCACACACATGACTGCCGAGGCAGGGCTTGAACCGGTGACCTTCTGTTCATAGGCCCAGAGGCTTAGCCTGCTGAGCCACACAGCGCCCCCTAAGGGAGGGTTAGGGTCACAGTGACCCAATTAAAATAATTATATTGCTTTAAGCTACCCTGACAGTTGCATGAGGTAGATCTGTGGTCAATAAAACAATTTCAACACCTGATTTAACAGGGTCTTAGATACAAATTAAATAAGTCGGAGGGAGGGCATTATGAATCACAAAGCCACAAAACCACAAAATTAAGCCTTTGCTCTTATAAATCTTTTAAATGCTGCGTCCAGTCACAGGCCTTGCACCCACCTCAAGCCGTTCCTGTTTCACATCATCCAGATCATCCTCGTCCATCAGGGCCAAGAAGTCCCCCGTCTGGTCGATAGAGCTCAGGAAATCCTGGACGAGCTTCTGTCTTTTGTTATTGCTGCTGCTGAATTTGTCTATATGTGGGTGCAGACAGGAAGAGGGGGAACAAAAAAGAAAGTCTGCACACATCTGTAAGGCAGCTGTGCGTGTTTACACCTACCCCTGATGGGCCTGCTTGCAGAGACCCCCCACATACACCGACGTTATGCAAACATAGTTAAGGGTTAACCCACTTTTCTGTTATCAACCCATGTCATTTTTCAGAGAAATTCAAAGTTTAATTAACCAACTGATGAATTAATATATATATATACTAGGTTTTGCTTAGACAAGAAAATAATCAACAAGAAATTCAACTGGCTCCTTCCAATTTACAAATGGCAGGTTTCTAGTTAACTAGAAATGACTATTCTCAGAGTATCTTTCTCTATGTGGGGATTAAATTATGTATTGTTGTAACACCACATAAGACAATCTTTAAAACTATGCAGGTCAATCACAGTTCAAGCCGCCATTCAATCACTGTGTGGCAAAACCAGACAGATAACTTGGTTTTCTGTACACAAACATTGTAACCAGTAGTCACAGCTTCAGACTGAAAATGGGATGTCACATCTAAAACTTTGAGCATCAGTACAGCTGGGCTTAGATGAGTACAGAATCACTACTGTACTTATCAGGGTAAAATGTGACAAACTTCCTTAAACTGGAGATTAGAACTTGCTGATTTGAAGGCCAAAGGTCAAGACACAACTAATCGTTTTTTTTTTTGTGATCCATATTTTGTTGCAAGGCTTAAGTTTATTATGCTCAAAAATAACTGCATTAAAATGCTTTTGCATGAATGAGAGAAAAGATTCATGTATTATTCATTGCTTTAGATTTTACTGTATATGATAGCAATCAAGCCACGGAACTTCACAGCACAAGCATGAAAAGCGATTCTCCATACTGTCTCACTCCTAATCCCACAAAAAAAGCAGCATCTCCTGCCTTAAACCAAAATCCCTCAAAATGTTTCTCTATATGTTAGTGACGCACTGTTTGACTTATTACTGTACAAAGAACCATTTCTCAAGGTCATTTTATTTACCTAGAGAACGTATTGAAAAAAGCCTTAGAAGACTGAGAAGAAAGTGGTTTCTGGCAGCAAATTACATGCGTGCTGCAGCAATTCCTCAAGAATAAAATCATCAGGCAGAGAATTTATGGCACCTTAATAACTACTTCTGTAGCTTTCAAATCTGGTTGATGTCAGATGACACAACCTTGACAAGGACTGTAATTACGGATTCTGTGTGTAAACAGGGCAATTAAATCAAAATGGTACAAAATGCCAGTCAGTACAAACGGAACCTTTCAAAATTACACAAATATTTTGTTATACATAATTAGTCCTTTGCTATTGTTTTTAGCGCATCCTAAACTTGACATTGAATGCAGTGGGGTGTTTACATGGATAAGAGAGCTCCGAAAATTTCGGTTAGCTTAAATAATAAACAACGCTAATCTGCAGTAGAGAAGAACTTCGTTTTAATTCGATCATATAAACAGACGAAGCAAGATGCACATTTTGAACACCACATTCCATGGAAATGAAGTCTTTCTACTTTCAATGTGTACAGAAACACAAGGACTTTGTTTCTCGGATGGGTGGAGGAACTGCGTCATCTCGGGCATTAGACCAAAGTTCTTAAAAAATGCTTTACCTTTATACTATAGAAAGGAGATATGTATGCCAAGCAGACCCAGATCCCACTGCAGACTGATGGTAGCTATCCAAGTCCAATGCAACTTGACATCTTTCTAAAACATCAATAGAAATATTGCAAATAATATTGCATACGAGTAGTCCATTCTATTCCATAATCCACCCATCTATCTATCCATCGTCCAACCATTTGTCGTGGTCTGGGTCATGGGCATTCATATATTTGATATAATTAAGCCTTATTGATATCACGTTGCAGGACTGTATTGATATTGAAAAAATTTTGTGATAATTAAACAACAGACATCCAGGGTGAAGTTTGGCTAGCACCTAAGTATACAAGTCCTACAACCTATATATTTCACACATCAAAATTTACATTGTGGTGTAACCAATAAATCACTGGACTTATGACTATCCACAGTGAAACAGTGCTGATTTTGAAAGCAGTTAATTTTGTTATTTGGCATAGAAATGTATGGAAGTGGACTGACCGCAATGCTATGGTTTTCAAAGAGGGTTTTTCTACACGAAACCACTGGTGAAACCCTTATATTGCAGTCGCATGGCTGCAGCTCATGACAGATGAAGCAACAGGTGAAACCCTCCCAGTGCAGTTGCAAGGATGCAGCCTGTGACAGGTGAAGAAACACGTGACACCCTTCCAGTACAGTCGCATGGCTGCAGCCCGTGACAGATGAAGCGACAGGTGAATCCCTTCCAGTGCAGTCACATGGCTGCAGCCCGTGACAGGTGAAGCGACAGGTGAATCCCTTCCAGTGCAGTCGCATGGCTGCAGCCCGTGACAGATGAAGCGACAGGTGAAACCCTTCCAGTGCAGTCGCATGGCTGCAGCCTATGATAGATGCACCTCTGGGGCATTCTGCTACTCACATAAAGCCACAGGACAAGAAGTGACAGAGCAGCCCCAGGCAGAGCAACAGCCTGCAAAGCAGCTGCTGTTCTGCACCTTCCGTTGGATGACGACAGACACTAATCACAGACTCAAATTCTATGCAGTGTCTGTATCATTTGCTTTTTTTTTTTTTTAAATCACACTTCGTCTGTATCTGCAAAATCCTAATAAGGGATTTAACAGTCACTCAACTCTGCACACTACCCACCACGGAAATTACTGCAATTCTACCAGCTTTAAAACACTAAAATCAAAGGGAAGCTTTTTTTTTTATTAATTTCCTCATCCTTGGTAGTAAGCAATAAGCAGTAGTAAGCAACAATAAATATCATTACGTGAGTAATGTTAAAGCAAAGAATATTAATGAATTTCTTCTATGGATATCATAACATCTTATAAGCAAGACCACTATAAAAACATAAAAGTTACAAAATGGTCAACTTCTAAACTTTCTCCAGTTCTATTTTCTTAATGTAAGTAGTCATGCTAATCAACGTACATTTATTCTGTTGAGTGTCTGATATTAAAGCAAATTTAGGCAACGCATCAATTTTTTCCCCAGCCTGCCTGTGTACGATCTCTTCTGAAAAAGAAGAAAAAAACTAAATTATGCACAGACATACAGTCTCCGTTGCAACAGACGTCCAGACTGTTCCTTTTAAACACTGCATTTAACATTATTCCATAGCTCAGGTTTCATTGGGACAAGAGGCAAATATCCCAGAGATTCATCATAACTAATTTTTGAACTTTTTTTTTTTTCCAACTCTGTTCTTGTCTTAATTTCTGTGCGATCAACAATTTATTGCGGTGGATCATTATACAAAAACTGGAAAGTTTCCCTAAAGCTTCCGTCTGCGTTACAGAAGCAGCCTGGCGCATGAAATGACGTCAGCGGCATCGCAGGTCAATATGTATCATCGTCCGAAAGAGACACGGCGAAAAACTACTCATGAGGGCTTTTTTTATATGTAAAGTTCTTCAGAAGATGATTGCAAGGAGGCCTGATAGACAGACTGGAAAAAATGACTGCACTGGCACATGGATACAATGGCAGAAAATTTGGGATTCAGAGATCGCAACGATCTTCAAATGATTGCAGTGTTTAAGTATTAATGTATTGGCAGAACATTAAAAAACACATTTTCCAACCTTAGCATACGATTTATATAGAAAAATATGGCACAGTGCTCTACTTTCAGCATGTTGAACGCAGATTTGAAGCACGCATCTTTGAGGATCAGAGAAAAATACTGATGCTCTGGTGTGTGGGGGGCAAAAAAATCCATAAGACAATTGTTCAAGCCCTTTTCAATTAAACATACTTGAAACACATACCGGTATCAAGCAGATCGTCGTCATCGATGGTCTTGAGTATTTTCGACTTATAGTCTCTGAACTGCATGTACTTCAGCAGACGTCGCACTTTTTTCTAGCATAAAGAAAAGAGTTGTAACAATATAAACGGATAAATCATACCCAATAAACCATCCAAACTACTTACTGGCAACTACTACAAAATTCAGGGTAGTATTAACAATTAAATTCTAAATACATATTATAAAACATAAAAGAGGGAATACAATTAAACAACACAGACTCCAGATTAAAAACAACCAAACCAAACAAAAAGGATCTAATTTTTGGACATTCAAATGCATGGTTGTTTTATTTTCACGTCTACCTAAGAATAAAGAAAAAAAAAAAACTAAGACCGTGAATGTTACAAACTGTAAGCTGACATGTAACACACTTCAAATAAACGCACTGGGTGGGGTGCTCCTGGACACACAAAACAGGACGGCACACATATCCGCATCACTCAAACAATGCATGCATACGCACGAATGATGCTAGGTGTCTAACGTGTGTGAAGCTGTGCTCACCTTGTCTTTGCGCATCAGAAACAGAATATCTTCAGCAGAGATGACCCTCGCTCCTCTCACGAGTGACACCTCCGCTGCTTGCTGGAGCTAGAATACAAGCAAACAGAGAAAATACATATAATCCAGAAGGCTCATTTGTTCAGAAGCTAACAAATAACTATTTTGTTTAGTGAGGTTTATTTTTTGATAATTTTTCAATGGCAACTGCTTTTGACGGATATGGGCAAAATGGACTGAGTGTATTTTCCTTTATAACGTGTTTTTTGAAGTAAGAAAATATTGATCAAATATAATTACTCGTCTTGCTCCCGTCTTGGCTTCCGAATCACTTATGCGTGTTTGACACTCGTCTTCAACTCTCGTGTCGGTACAGTGTGTCCTGGATAGATTTGCTAAAACAACAATGGTTGTTATTAATATTCTTTAAGAGGTGGTGGAGGGGGCAAAAAAGTTGCATTCCTTTTCATCTTGGCTACTGTTTACTTGGCATGGGATGTGGCCCATAAATCATTATGCTAAGCCGGAGACATGCTTCCTCTGCAATGGACTAACGGTTACAAAACCATTACGCGTCTCTGATAATCAAGTGTGGCAGTGGAACCCGGCTAACAGGCAGGCCGAGCCGCCGCTATCCGCGTCCAAGGTTCGAGATAATGGCGCTAAAAAAAATAAAAAACCCAGATGTCAGTGGCTACAATCACCAGACTCCTGCCGTGAAAGGCTCACTCAGGAACAGCTAGCTTCTCTGGTTCTTAGGTGTTCTATCCATCTTCCAGGCTCCACACGCATTATGGATTCCCGTCGGTTCACAGTCTCTGAAGCTAGAACCTGCATTATTTTAAAAAGTATTTGTATTTTTTTCCTTTTTCCCCCCAGAATTAAGCTGTACCAATAATGATGTTGAGATCGTATGGAAACAACGCTCTTAACCTGCAGTTAGGACAGAAGAAAAAACAAATGTCTTCTCAACTGAGCTCTGCAATTATTTTATTTCATAAGAGTTGACGGACCTCATTTATCACTTTCGCCTTCCTTGCAAAATGATACCTGTCCTCCCAAAGATCTGAATGCAATGGATGCCTAAAAATTAAGCAACTTCTTTCCTACAGAAAGATCACAGTGTTAACTTTCTGCAAGCTTTTCACTGGATGCTTAACCCTGCTTGTTCTACACAAACCCCAGGTTAGGTTAACTAGAACTTGACAGGGTTAACGATATAGAGTAGGCTAACTTTTCAGGGCCTTTTTAAGTCATCACGAGGCATCTACAGTATATTTCCTTTGTTTAACAGATGCCTTCATCCAAAGCTATGTGCAAGTCAGGCAAATAGCACATTACAAACATACAACTATCAAGGAGTCGACTGGGCCTAAATGCGGCTAGGCTGAGCACGATGTCACACAATCATGCGCGTTTAGGTGCAGGTCATTTAAAGTAGCAATAGTGAGAGCTGCGCAAGGCTTGTTTTTATGTAGAACAGAAATAAACGCAGAGGAAAAAAAACGGGGGGGGGGGAGGTATGGGGAAGTTAAGCAAGTCCAAACAAATCCGGCAATTTTATCACACTAAATAGTTTAAAACAAACATTACAAAAATGGCACTGCTGGTTCAAAACACCATCTGCAGAGACAAGGCCTTATGGAGAGGTGCAGGGGCTCACATAAATAAATGGCTTGATGAGCAATACAGACCATGGTTAGCCATGGTCAAGTCACGGCAATGTAAACAACAAAAGTAACAGCCCAAGTAACACAGAGGTGATTTTGTTATTTTTCTGGTATAACAATGACATCATACCCAGCAGAAACATGTGACATTTACATACAGTAAACATATACAGTAACATAACACATTAAAAAAGAAAACTACCCTTACTTTAAATCACATGAATACTGCTTTTACATCATATCAACATGTCTTTCAGCTTAGATATGTTTATATAGATATAAATTTGATTGACAGAATAATTCTGAAAGGGCTTTTTTAGCTCTGGGATATACACCAATGAGCCAAAACATTATGTCCACCCCCATGTGAAGTGATAAATTATCTATCTTGTAAAAATAGTGCATTTCATTGGTGATATATTGGCCGGTAAACTAAGCCAGAAGAAATAGGCAGCGATAATAATCTGAGTAACTTTGACTAATAGTCAGACGACTGTGTGAGAGCATCTCTGAAACAGTGAGGCTTGTGGGGTGCTCATGGTGAACCATGTTAGGTATCTACTGAGAGTGGTGCCGGGAGAGAAGGACCACGAACCACTGGCAGGATGCTGAGTGGGCAGAACACATCAATGCGGGGGGAGCATGAAGGCTTTCCCTTCGGGTACGAATCAAAAGAAGGGCTATGGCAGAAATGACTGATAATTTTGATGATGATCACAGACGTAATGTGTCACGACACAATGCAGGAAGCACCGCTTGTGTGGGTCTATGCAGTCGCAGATTGGACTTGTTGGTTCAACGCATCCCACAGATGCTTGACACGTACCAGACTACTGAAATGATGCACAGAACACAGGATTCGTTGGACCTGGCAACCCTTTTTCCACTGCTCCAAGGTCCAGTCATGACACCCGCATGCACATCGTAGGTGCTTTAGGTAGTAGACAGGGGTCAGCGTGGGCAGTCTGACTGGCCAGCGACTACAAAGCCCCATACACCACAGTACTCCAGGCCCTGTGTGTCGTGACACATTACTCTCATTATCTTCAAAAGTATCCACCATTTGTACCAGAGTAACCCTTCTGTTGGTTCTCACAGCTAGCTAGTTAGCTTGTCAGAGTGAGACAGACTTCCCAGCTTTAAGGTATCTTTGTCCAGCCATGCAGTCTACTCACCACACCCATACTACTCTGCCTGCACTCCATCTCATAGCGAGCTAGTTAAGCTGCACGTATTTTGCCAAAAAAAAAATAAAAAATGTAATTCTGCCTCCTGACAGTCAGGTTTGTACAACTGAGGAGAATCAGCTCTTTACAGGTGATGGCAGATGGCTTGTGATTGGGTGAAATAAATTACAGTAATGTAAATTAATGTGATTACTAATATTCGGCTCTGGAAGCACTACTAGTTCTAATTTTCCGATTACTTTGAACAGAGAATAAACCAACTTGAGTAAAAATATAAGGAACACAGCTTGTTTACAGAGCATGGGTTTAGCAAATGGGATATACAGCTATCACTGCAGGCTATTCTGAGCAGACCCGCTGTTTGCCTCCGGACGAAGGTCTGTTTTACCATTTCTGGAATGCTTGAGCTATCAAACCCGTTGAATAATTCTAAGAAATCCGGGGTTGTGTTTTTCCCTTTTCATTTTGCAGTTGATGCTTCAGTGTCCACAAAACACACGGTGATAATGAGTGCAGACAGTGGGAAGATGATGCAGATTCACAAATGTTCCTCATTGCACTTCCAGAAAATCCAATTTGTATTCCCAATTCTAACTAAATTCATATTAACTAAAGAACATTATACATATGGTAATTTATTACATGGACAAAGTTTTAAGGGTGGAGGATTGTTACACAACACGATTACCTAATCTAATAGTCTAGCTAAATAATTACATTTTCAAAACTTAATTTCGTATTTGAAAAGTTAAAACATTTTCCCAGATAACCGTGCTTCGCAAAAAATAAAATCTAAAATCTAAATTAATTGCAGTCATTCGAATCACTGTAAACCATGAAGACTTTTGTTTTTCCCTATAAAATATTATTCACAACGTCAAAAGCAGATTTTTTTGTATTTCGCAATTTGCTTTTGGGAAACGACTGAAGTGATTATGAAGTGAAATGAGTCCGATGACTGAGTGAAATAGCAGGTGTTTAGTGCTGAGGGAGATTTACCACTCTGTGACACTAACCGAAAGCATTTTTCCTCCACAGTATGACACACTTCCAAGGGACAGTGGTTTCAATGTGCTGGTTCTTGTCATGTTAGTGGAGGGGGGGGGGAAAGAAAATAAAAATGACTTTCAAGCTTCAGAAGGGCAGCGAAGAAAAACAAACAGGTCAATTTCTTCTTTGCGGCTACTGCGAAGTTTTGAAATGAAATCCATTATTTAATTATGCTGAAGAAAGCGGAGGAGAAGGTAAAGGGTAATTCCACAATCTTCATGTGCAGATCAATTACACTGATTCTGTTTAAATGAGGGGGGACACGGCTATTCCACGATTAAAAAAAGAAAAAGCAAGATAAAAACTGCCCAGCATGAGAAGCAAAGTTCATTCTTCCAGGCAACTGTGAAGAATCTAATATAAAGTGACATTAATTGAATTACAGACGCTCCCTGGGTTACGATGGTCCGTGTTGCCATGTTTCCACTTTACGATGGGTATTCCAGTTCCATTCTGTTTTTCACTTTCTGTACATTATTCAATAAATTACATGAGATTTTCAACACTTTATTATAAAATTGGCTTTGTGATAATGATTTTGGCCAATTGTAGGCTACTGTAAGTCTTCTAATTATATTTAAGGTAGGCTAGGCTAGGCTCAGCTATGATGATTGTTAGGTTAGGTGTACCGTATCAAAATGCATTTTCGCCTTACGATATTTTTAAGATTTTAAGATATTTTAAGAAGGTTATCAGAACCTAACCTCACCGTAACCCGGGGAGCGTCTGTATATTCCTAAATTACTGAATTATACATTCTAGAGAGCACATGAGGCCTAAAGTCGTCTCAGTAAAATGTATGCCACCTGCTGAGGGAAATGCAGCTCACAGACTTTGTCGAACATCAGTGAGGGTATTTACTAGAAGTGCAGAAACAACATCAGCTTTAACTTTTGGGAAACCTATATTTCTTCCATTTTTTAAAAAAGCAATGAAATGAATTTGGTCACTTTCATTTCAAAGAACTTGAGCCAAAAACTGAGGAGCAAAAACACAATCTGGTAACTCCAACCACTGTGCCACCGTGCTGCCCATAATCGAGAAGTTATACCATGGTGAAAGTAAAGATTTAATGGCATGAAAAAGTCTGTCTGAATCAGACCAGCTCTGGATGCATGCTGAGACAAGCTGGAGAAAAGCCAAAATGCCAAGTATCAAGAAAGAAAAAAAGGTTTGCATTTTATAATCAAAAAATAAAAACAAAACAGTATCATTGCCACAATAATCTGGAATGTGAAACCACATGCAGAGACAAAATATTTTCCCCGTGTTTGAGGCTTTAATGATGCAGTTTGGCGAGGGGTGTTATCACTGTTTTCCGAAACACAAAGTCCCTGATAGCTGTACAGGGGAGGATCCAAAACAATGAGCTTCCCGTCAGATGCGGCATCAGTACAACATCGGGGAAACGAGAGCCTTACGTAGAGATGTGCACCAGGACACCTAGACAGAGCTGCGGCTGCCAGTCTAACGTTACTGGCATTTCTAAAAGTGGCAGCCTTAACGATCAGGTGAAATGAAAGCTGTTAACTCCGAAATGGGAACATGACCCTGTACCGCAGATCTGCTTTTGTCAATCTCAGAGTAAAACATAAGAGCCACGAAACTCAGGCTTTCACACGTTTCAAACATTTGTTACCAGAATATAAAGACTGGGGCAAGATAAATTATATATATGTATTTTTCCTTAGACAGGCTTATATTTTGAGCCATTACACTCAGCCTAGATGAATTAATTATCTGAATGGTGTTTTCTAAAAGATCAGTCTGATCAAATCACCTTTAGTCTCGTCTCTTGAACACTCGAGTCAGGCTGACGCAACCAGGGACATGCTAAATGAATCCATTCTTACTGGACTAGTAATTATACTAATTAGGAAATGGAAAAGGGATCAGTTTTAATTAAACTTGGAGTGGAAGCTCAGAGTGTGACACTGTATCTTCACACCCACCTGTGACATGGGCTTGACTACAAGCCAAATTGCGTGTTTTGCTGGTATGTTCTCCCTGCATTTGGATGTTTCTGCCAGGTGTTGCAGGCACCTCTGACGGGCTAAGTGAACTGGTGTCCCTCAGCACCCCATAGTATGCGACTGTGGATCCCATGCAACCTTTATCCAGGCCATCCCCTGCCTTGTGCCCTGTGCTTCCTCAGACCACACCGTGAACCTGTATGCAATAAGCAGTTCCGGAAAATATACAAATGAGAAGGATAATTAAACTTATTGGAAGAAGAGCATCACAGAATTAGAACATTAAAGACAGTCGCCAGATAAATCAGATTATACAGGAAATGAAGGAAAAGGAGTAAAATTTTAGTAATAATAAAATCAGCTGCAAAATCAGATGTAAAACAAAGGGATTTTTGTCTAAAACACCACCATCTGTGTATCATGATGTTAAAAGAGAAACAGCAAGGAGACAAGGTGACCATATTCTTTTCAGTGTCCTGACCTGACCTAGGAAGCTGTTCTATTGGGGATATTACAAAGCATCTTTACGTCCATCAGACAAGGATCTTCCTAATTCGACATTTCTCAAGTCTAAACAGACAACAGAGAAAAGGTCCTTTTTTGACAAGCATTATGTCACAGAACCCCCAAAAAATAGCAAAACATAAATGGCAATTTTTGAGTAGGAATTGAAATAACAATGAAAGCATTTTAACCTTTTTTTTTATAAAAAAAAAAACAAAAAACAAAACAAAGCAAAAAAAAAATTGAGTTTATACTATAGTGTTACATGCAGCGAACCATGTGTGGCCATGCATAAATAGTAGCTATGAACCAAATAAAGTAGACTTGGTAAATTAAACAAGCCAATTTCTGCACCTGGCATTCTCAGAAAAGAAGGCAAGTCCAGCAAAGTCATTCAATGGTAGCTTGTCATGAAAATGCTTTTTTTCCCCTTTGTGCGATGTTTGGGTTTTAGTCTAACACAAGGCCATGTAAGCAGTCAATCAAACTGAAGTCTGCACTTTAGAACTGCACTGAAATCAAAAGCATTCAGGGCCAGCCAATGTCCAGATACAACCAGCACCTGATGCATAACATGTCGTTTTATTAATAAACAGTGATAAACTCAATCATTCGCTGTGGTCTAAACAGTATTCGAACTCTAATTCTGGCGACCGTTCCAGAGCAGCGAAGCATTAAATGTCAGCTTAAGGCTAACAGGCCAGTGTTGTTTTACTCAGTGAAAAGGGAACCAGCAGCGTTGATACCTGAGAATATACAACTTGCTCAGAATAGGGCCGATTAACGTTGAGAACAATTACGTGTAATAATGCACTGACAGAACGCAGCACAATGATGCCTTTTTGCAGCGGGTTTCACGCTCATGTGGCCTGCACATGGGCAGTCGACCGAGAATGCACCAACTGTACAGAGCGTGTCAGTTTCACCCAGGCAACACCAATCCTCTATACCATAAGAGCAGCCGAACACAAATATGACTCAAGCTTAGTTAGTTAAGTTTATCAATCCAAAGGGCAAAAATAAAGGAAAATATAAAAATTTTTGGTGACAAATAGGTAGCTATATTCAATGAAATGGTTACACTATGGTTAAAAAATTAAATTCTGGCCAGAAGATTGTGCTTCAAATTCCAGAATGTGTGATTTTTAAATCAAGAAACTGACCATGCTGCAGATTTTTAACTGTATTTGCTGACCGGAAACAGCAATAATTCAAATCTATCAGTAAACTATTGACATTGAATATTGATATTAATATTGAAGTCACTAAAACTATTACAACTGATTTACATTGATGTTATAAACATTCATGATTACATTTTGTTTAAGATTACTGCAACAATTAATTTAATTTAATTTAGTGATTGTCATTGTTGACACACCACAGCACACAGTGCACAACAATGAAATGTGTCTTCTGCATTTAACCCATATGTGACAATGTGACATAGCAGGGGGCAGCTAATTCAGCGCCCGGAGAGCAGGGCTTGGGGGCGGTACCTTGCTCAGGGTACCTCAGGGGTGCCTTGCTGGTCGGGGATTCAAACCAATCTTTCAATTATAAGTGCGCTTCCCTAAACATTTGATAAATCTTTAACTGACACTTTGAGATATCAATTAACCCTCCAAAGAATTAAAAGAGATAATTGCTAAAATTAATTGTATTAATTTCTATCTACAGAATCTCACATAAGAAACACTTATGCCACATCTGTGCCTCTTAACCTCTACAAGCTGAAGAATCCAGTGGGAAGACCCTAAAATCATAATCTACCTATAATAGGACACTAGAATTAACGAGTGATACCACTGAAGTAATGACAAGAATGAACACTAGGTGTCAGTATAATGATCTCATGAAGGATTTACTCATTTCTTCCAACCCACAAGCTACCTAGAGAATCATCTTTTTTTTTTTTTTTTTTTTGCAGAGGTGTCTGGAAGGAATTGTCTTTTATAGTACAAGAACAGACTATTGCAGTCTGCACACTGCATATTGTTGTCACTGGTTATACTGAACACTTCCCAATTCTCTCAGCAACAGTCTATGGTGATCTAACTACCTGTCACACTTACAAAAGCAATGCATCTAGAGAGTGAAGAACATGGATCTGTGATTAGAAAGTTCAAGCCCAGGTGGAAGGTGCTGTACCTATGATCATCATATACAGTGCGGGGACAAAGCGCTAATTCTCACTTTTTTGCTTATCCATAACATGTAATCGTGTCCAATCAACAAACAAGTTTAGTATAATACAAAGGACAACCTGAGTACCGTAAATGCAAAACAAAATTTTTGGATTATTGAAGGAAAATAATTCACCCATGTGACAAAGTAACTGACTTTTTTTCGATGAAACCGTGTTTCGGGTTTCGTCCTTTATATTGTCCTAAATTTGTTTGGAGATCAACAAGTGTTATACAAGTGTTATGAGATAAGTGTTATGAGTAAGAAAAAACAGAGGGAATACTTTATCACAGCACTGTATGTACAGCAGAAAACACAGTGTACTGTTAGCTGCAAGTAACTAACTCCGTGCCCTTTTACAGGAGCATCTATAAGACTGTTGCATCACATTATCTAGGTATAAAAAATATTTTGACCTATAAGTGATTCATACGGCATAAATCATGTACCGGGAGTCAATAAAATATATTTTCCATCACAACTATTCTTTTCAAAAATAATTACCCTGACGGTGGTATATGGCAATTTATGGAACGCACACTGAACGCAAAACAATCGAAGAGGTACCTGTTGCTGTGAGGCACCAGAGGAATTTCACAACACCGGGATTAGTGTAACAATATGGTGTGCTGCCTTTGTTGGAAGAATAAGATGTAAGGGCGTGTACGCCGATGTGAATCATGGCTGACCAGAAGACGGCACTTTGTCAAACTGAGATCAGGACCACGCCACACCGTAGAGGTGGAGCCCTCCTTCCCTTTCCTCTACCTAGAAGTGTTTCAAAACCCAATTTCAGCATCTGCTCATAACATACCACACAAATGTAAGGCTAATACCGAAGACAGATAAGTGAACAAGTAACTAAACAAACGTCAGCCATGCATTTAATCATGAGGGTAATCCGTTCAAACTCCCAACCCTGTCCTAGATGAATTGTCAGAAGATGGATGATAATCCTTCGAATCTATTCACACGGCTAAGACGTTTATTACTATAATTACTCTGTGTTTTCCAAGCGTGAATTGGTGAACCGGGCACATCGTAAACCTTGAGCCAGGGGTTTTCAAGGCAGCTGGTTCCAATATGAGGACCACGCGTCGTTGTGTGGTTTTGCACACTGCCACACAGGCTTGGGTGCGTGCGTGTGTGTGCGCGTGCGTGTGTGTGTGTGTGTGTGTGTGTGTGTGTGTGCGCGCTCCAACCCGCTCCCCTGGATGTGAGGACCCTGGAGCGTGCGGTGATCCCTCCCGGCGCAGGGGTTCCCAAGAAGCCTTTGTGCGGCACGCTCACCGACTACCGCGGATTAACTCCGTCTCCCTCCCCGAATTGCACCCCGTCGGCACGGTGTGTGGAAATCTGTGAGAGAACTGCGGAGAAGCACAACGGTGACTGGGGCCCGTGGCATGAGGCTTCTCTGAACTGAGTGGTAGGGCTGGGGTTCCAACAAGAACCTGGACGAAGACATTTTCATAGTCAATGTTCTGCAAGATTAGCATGAACTGAAGGCTTAGCGTGGAGTTGACCTGCAGCGGTGCACAGAAACCCAAAACCTCCGCTGCAACAAACCATTACTCCACACTGCCATTCTCATATTTTACTTAAATGAAAATGAATGCTTTGGAGATCGGGACAGAGTTCAGTTCTCCATTTCTCTGCCATCGCTGTGGTTTTTGATTGATTTCTTCATCTTCTGTTTGATGGAGCACCCTCAGGGGCAGCTACTTTTAAGGAGAGTTTACACATATCAGCAGAGAGATAAAATTGAGGTTCAATTTGGCACTTTAATGTAGACCCCAGTTACCTTACACCATTAATGTCATGTAAATATTAAAGGAAGTTTGATAATTTAGTATTTGCATTTACTAGAATATCTATGCAAATACAAAATGAAGTAAGCAATGGCCACAGTTGTCATCCACAGTCGATCCTCAACAGCTTCCTGAACTGTACATCAATTAAGGGGTTATCAAAACACAGCTACGCAACACAGTCCATAACTGTGCTGGTAGAGGAAGTAAAGGAATGGTCTAAAATCTGGCGGACTGCAAGATGGAAACAATCTTTTGGCTAACCCAAACATTCAAAATCGCCATGCGCTATGTGACCATGTGTGTGCGCGTGTGTGTGTGTGTGTGTGTGTGTGGACCTAAGCAAACCGGGACACACTTTGAACACAGGCCGACAGGACAGGGAGATACGTTTGCAGGCCATCTGGGAAGAATTTATTGTGTAATTCGGTTTATTACCACTGCGGTCTTCGCCTAAGTAGCATGCACACAATTATAGTAGACTCAGCACGACTACACCTGGCCTAAGCTAAGAATAATAAACTCAGGGAGAGGAAACAAGGAATTAATTTAAGGTTATCACCATCATGCTCTGTTTAATACTTACCGGTCCAAAATGCCACGCACTTACATTTGCGTATAAATAAATACCTTTCAGGAATGGATCGAACGAAAAATAAATATAATCAATGACAAACATTATTTCAACAAATTATTCTAAACTTGTTCAAGAATTATTTGTTTAGACCATGATGCGACAGGATTAAGACTAAATATATAAAATGTAGATGACATTTATATATATATGCATTGAAGGATATTTTTTTGTCTTTCGATACACTATCCCTGACCCGATGCTTTACACATACTGGAGATACAGTTAAAAAAAAAAAATTATTCAAGTAAAAGTTCAAATACACTGTGCACAGAAATTTCAATATCGATAAATGCATTTTTGCAGTCTGCATTACTGTTATTAATAATACATCACAGAGGTCTAACTTGCTCTATCAAACATTAACATATTAAAAACACTACAAAATGTAGCATTACGATAAAACGTCAATGTGTAC